AAAGACCACCCATTTTTTTCCATCTCTATTTTTCTCTTTAGACCACACCCACAGTGCTCGGGGCCACACTCCACAGTGCTCGGGGTCACTCCCGCCTGCCTGCAGCCCCTGGAGTCATCGCTCTGCCCAGTCCCCTCCTCATTCCCCACCAGAGCACAGGCCTTGTGCTGGGGTGCTTTGCAAGGGATAAATGCCCCCTGCCCTGCCCTGGGTCATTATGGTTAAACATCCCTGGCTGGGTTGAGGGCAAAGATCAAATACTGCGGCCTGGAAGCAGCTGAAGGCCTGAGGCTCAGCCTTCCGTGCACGAGGACCTGAGTTGGATCCCCAGCAGGGTCTAGGCCCCAGGTCTTCCAGACCCAAGGAAGGGCAAATAGCTGAGCTCAGCATCGGACCATCCAGCCCAGTTAACTGTGTCATGCCAGACACAGTTACCCCCAGGAGTGGCCGCTCTGCCACTCGAGTACCGCAGCTTTGCTGAGCGAGTCCTGTGTCTGACACAGAGCCATGAGCCCGGGCACTGCCAGGACGGCACCCCTCCAAGCAGACTGGCTCGGTCGAAGACCACCAGGCTGAGGGGAGACCAGGCGAAGGTGCACAGGAAAGCAGGAGATTCGGCGCGTTGGACAGACAGACACCAACACAAGAGAGGCTGAGTGCTGCTGCGGTTTATTGCATCCAGAGTTCTTCTTTTTATACAGTTACAGAAACAACGTGGCAAAGCACACATTACATCAGACCATGGGTCATGTTCCCAAGACATCAAGGGGCACGTACACGTTCTGTTTTAAGATTAGGGCAGAAGATCCGCTTGTTCCAATAAAATATCTGAGTGAAATATTATGTTCCTTATAATTCCTTTATTGTCTACTTTTACTGACATTTAAGTTTTTATTCCCCTAAAGACGCCTACCCATAAACTAAAAAAATATCAGGACTTTACAAAAGCTAATATTAACTCTACTTTACTAGCAAGTATATAAAAATCAGGACTTTACAAAAACTAATATTAACTCTACTAGCAAGCATCTTTCCAAGGCCAAAAGTTAAATCAAAATATCTAACAAGCAGGCTCCTATTCCCACAGAATGGCAAGTGAAGACTGCATGTCAGAGGCGCCTAGAAAACAGAGAAAGGGGGCTGCCGGAGGCATAGACCCGTGGGTCGCGAACCTCCCATTCCCAGGGACCCAGGCCCTTGCCTGAGCCCCCTTGCAGCATGTTGCTACGTGGGCGACGCCATTGCCGGCGTGGCAGAGTGGCCCCCCATGGCCTGGGGGTCCTCTCAGATATGTGACGGGTTTGGCCTGAGAGAGTGACTGAAGGAGTAGGGGTGCAGGAGGCAGACAGCAGAGGCAGATACCCCTCAGCCAGTCTGGCCAGCTCACAGGACCCCTCTGTGGGGGTGGGTCCCCTCTTTATTCCTGCCTCAGCCCCACCCGTGGAGGGATGCCATGGTGAGCAGGAGCTGGACCTTCGCGGACATTCACGGCCACAGCTCCCCAAGGTGGACACTAGCCACCTCCCCATTGGGATTCTTGCCTCTGGACGAAATGGGGGCCCCTGGCCACGCCCACACGGCAGGTGTCCACAGTCACCACGCACATCCACGTGCAAAGCCATGGTGTGTGTCAGGGCAGGAAGCGGCTTCTCAGACCCTGCGGGTCCCACTTGCCCAAAGCTGAACTCCATTCTGGGGCCACCCGGGTCCCTCAGAGAGGCGAGCGAAAGTGACAGCAGGACCCTGTGGGACCTGGGCTTCAGGGTGTGGGGGTGCAGAGGGATCGGGCCTAGGAGGGGTCCACAGTGGTGGGACCTGCCCGGGCGGCCCCATGAACTGCAGCTGAAAGGCCACAGGCCGGGCCAACCTCCCTCCCTCCCTCGGCCCAGAGGCCGGGATACCGGCCCCCAAACCAAACCAAACATGGGCTATTTTCAGCCACTGAGCTGTGTGGGGGACAAGCCGGCCCAAAATAGCTCTGTGAGTTAGCGGGGCCCGGCCCGGCCACCCTGGCCACCCCCGGCTCTCCCAGTGAAATCACCAGGAATCAGGAGGTCGCGCCAACATTCCCGGGGCCTGTGTAACAGATAGAGCTGCGTGGAGGGCGGGGGGGGGGGGGGGGGGGCGGCGAGGGGTGTCCAAGCACTGCCAGGAGGACAGGGAGCCAGGGCGGGGTGACAGCAGCAGAGGGGGGGTGGAGAGGGGCTGGCCAGGCCCAGCAAGATGCAGAAAGGGAACCAGGGGGAGAGAAGGGGAAGAAAAGGGCGGGGGCGCCAGACCCGGGGCCCCGGGAAGTTCCGGAAAGAGTGAGTCTGGCCTAGTCACGAACCACCTGCTAACGGGTCAAGGAGACACTTTCCCCTGCCGCCGCCGTCTGGAACTTTCCCCAAAAATCCACGAGCAACACTCACCCCTTATCTGTGGGCCTCCGGGAAACCCGGGCCGCTGTTGCTTCAGAGGGACTTTACTCCCTGGATCCCTTGGGTTTTGAAGAAGGGGTGGGGTCCCAGGCGAGTGTGTGGGTGTAGGGAAAGGGGAAGATGATCAGTCCTTGAGGGGCAGCAGGTGGCCTGGCCGCCTCCTGGGAACAGGGCAGGGGTCAGGGCAACACCAGGTCCCCCGGACACCCACTTCTGTGGCACCGTTTCATAACCTTATCCCAGCTGTGGCGTCTCCTGACTTTAGCCCCTTCCTGTGGCTGACCAGTGACCCCTAGGATCATACTCTGCCCCCACCCCCCGTTATGTGATTTTCACCTGAGCCCTCTGAGATATCCTGGCGCCTGCAGGGGCCATACGAACTCCCCCCAGCCCGCAGCTCTGGCAGCATCAGCACCTGAAACACCAAGCAGGGGCTGGAGCGAGGGGACAGCAGGGAGGGCACTGGTCTTGCTTGCATCCGGCCCAGGATCAATCCCCAGCACCCTACAGGGTCACCCGAGCCCCCCACCCCAGGTGAACCCTGAGCGCAGAGCCAGGAGTTACCCCTGAGCATTTCCAGGTGTGGCCCAGAAGCCCAAAAATAAAAAAATAAAAGGATTCGCTTCCAGCCCCGTCTCCACCCGCCGCTCTGCCACTCGAGTACCGCTGCTTTGCTGAGCGAGTCCTGTGTCTGACACAGAGCCATGAGCCCGGGCACTGCCAGGACGGCACCCCTCCAAGCACAGAGCCGATGAATCCCTCAAGTACCGCCACTCATGGCCTGCCCCCCAGAATAAAAACCAACGTGGGGGTTGCACTCAACCCGATCTCTGTTCCTGTCTCATGCCCATGGGTGGGAGGCAAGGCCTGGGGGCCTTCGGGGAGAAGAGACAGGGGTCTGCACGGTGCCCCCAGATGCAGCCCACTCCAACTCAGTGCTCTCAGCTGTGCACGCCGCCACAAGTGTTTAAATGAGGCGCAGCCCCGTGGGAACATGAGTGGGATGACTGCAACTTTCCAGGGAGGAATCTCCCTTCTCTCTGCCGCCCACCTTCCCACCTGACTCTGGGGGCCCCAGAGAAGGGAGGGGGGAACCGCCCAGCTACGGTTGCCCTTGACATCTGTTTACTGAGAAAATCCAAAACAAATATCCTGATGCTGTCACCCGCAAACACTTCCAGGTGTTTGTGCCGGGCATTTCCAGGGCGCCCCGAGGACCCCCAAGCGGCCAGTGTGCACCCCCCACATTCCAGGTTCAGGCCTGCCCCCCACCGCCCAGTAGCCTCAAGTCACTTTCTCAGCTCTCGAGACTTTCCCTCGCTGGGCCAGCCCGGATCCCAGCAGCGCACCCCACAAACCCTTCCTCCACCCGCCCTCCCCACAGCTGTGGTACCCAAGTCTGGTCTGCAGGAAAAGGATAAGACATAATTCTTCCAAGAAAGCAAACTCTCCTACCCAGAGACCAAACCCCCAGCACAGCACCGCGGGGAGGGCGCCTGCCTCGTGCACTTGTGCACTCAGACCCGGGTCTGACCCCACAGGGTCCCCCGAGCACGGCAGGAGTGATCACTGAGCACCCTCGCTGAGTGTGGCTCCAAAACAAAACCCAAAAACCTTGGGCTGCTTTGACAGTCCAGCAGGGAGGGCTCTTGCCTCGCACCTGGACCACCCGGGTTTGTTCCCTGGCATCCCATAGGGTCCCCCGAGCACCTCCAGGAGAGATTCCTGAGTGCAGAGCCAGGAGCAACCCCTGAGCATCGCCGGGTGTGGCCCCAGAGCCAAAAAAGAAAAAAGAAAAACAAACTCTGAATTCCGCAGCCCAGACGTCCCCCTGGATCCTGTCCAGCCTCCAGTCCCCCACCGGGCACACCTGTGACCCACCCAGAGCCCTGGGCACAAAAGAGGGCCCCTGGGGGCATGTCCAACGTCTGGATGCTCCGGGGACTCAGTCCTGCATCACCCGAGCCCGGCAGCCAGAGGCAAAGGCAGCGTCTGTCCCAGCAGCCCAGACCCAGACATGGCACGTTCCTCCATGCCCGCGGGCTGCTGGGGAGAGGCCAGGAGGGAGGGTGTGCCCACGGCCAGCGAGAAAACCCACAGGGCTCCTGGCGGCTTTGAGAACTTTGAGGTGACTGTCTCTGGGGAAAGGAGGAGTCGGTCTCACCCGACTGGCTCTGGGGGCCACTGTCACGCCAGACACTGGGCAGCTAGGGGGCATCAGCTCTGCCAGTGTCCAGTTGGCACACACCAGCCAGAGACAGAGGAGCTGGGAGAGGAGCCAGATGGAAGGAGACAGTGGCCAAGACTGGGGTGTCACATGTGTATACACACACATACACACGCACGCACACACACACACACACACACACGCCTTAGCAACGCGCAGGGGAGGGACAGGAGGCCCCCAGCTGCCGGACTCCACGGCCAGAAAGTGGGAGGGGCTGCCCATGAGTTCATCTACTTCCTGCCCAAATCTGCTTTAAAAGGAGGCAGCCTGGGCTCCCCAGGAATGCAGCTGCCTCTAGTTCCAGGCTCAGGAGCACTGCCCGCAGAGCTCTCTCTCTCTCTCTCTCTCCGTGCAGCCCCGGCCCAACCACCGCAGCCGCCACCACAGCCAGCATCCCTGCAACGGCCACTGCTGAGCCCGCACAGCCAGACCCCGGAGCACCGAGACCTGAGGTAAGAGGAGGGTGGATGCTCTCCGCACACTCGGGGAGCCCTGAGGATCTCCTCCATTCCGGGGCCCTCACTCCCGCTCCCTGGACAGACACGAACCCTGACTGAATCTGGCCTTAGTAGTGATGACCAGGCTGTAGGGAAGCCCCCACCCCCAGCAACGGGCGTCTCCCGCCTGCTCGGTCCCCCATGAGACACCGCCATTTGCCCCCAGAGCCCCCAGGAGGGATGAGCTGAGAGGGGAGCTCCCCAGTAAGATTCTGGAAGCATCCTTCAGGCTCGGGGCATTATCCTCGGATGCCCCAGCCTCCTGGGAGTGAGGAAGTTGGTACCAAGAATTCCCAAGAGACAGGGGCTGGGGCCCTAGTGCAGCGAGCTGCGAGGACCCTTGCCCTGCACGCAGCTGACCCAGTTCAACCCCAGCACCCCAGGGTCCCCTGAGCCCACCAGGAGTGCTCCCTGAGTGCAGAGAGCCAGGAGTCGGGTCCGAGCACCACCAGGTGTAGTCCAACCCCTCTCCCCCCAGAAAAGAAATGGTGCTGAAGACCTCATTATTGGGGGTCAGTGGGAGCTGGGGTTCAGGGGCAGAGTAGAGGCCGTTCATGCGGCACATCCAGGTTCCATTCGCAGCACCCAAATACAAAAATTTAAACCCTCCCAAGGGGGTCAGAGAGATGACCCAGTGATTGGGACTCATCCTTCACATGTCCGGGCACCTGGGTTCAAACCCCATCACCACCTGAGTCCCTGAGCACTGCCAGGTGGAGTCATGGGTCCCCTGAGCCCGCTGGGGAAACCCCTCTCCCCAAAAAAATATACACAAGATTGCCTGGGCCGGGATGAGAAGGGCTTCGATGCAAACCCAGCATGGTCTCCCCACTGCCAGCACAAAGTGGGGGCCCCTCCCCTCCACTGCCCCCTCCCTCACGCTCGTGTCTGTGCCCCTAGGATGCTCAGTGGTCCCGTCCTCGCCTGCCTGGCCCTGGGCCTGGCCCTGGCCGCAGGCACTAGGACCGACACAGTGCGGGCCGCCCGGCTGGTCACGGACTTCGGGGTGAAGGTGTTCCAGCAGGTGGCCCAGGCGTCCCCGGACAGCAACATGGCCTTCTCCCCGTACGGCGTGGCGTCCGTGCTGGCCATGCTCCAGACCACCACGGCGGGGGAGAGCCGGCGACAGATCCAGGAGGCCATGTACTTCCGGACGGAAGGTGGGACTGGGGCAAAGGATGGGGCCGGGGGTACCGCCAGAAACCAAGGAAAGGCTGACCCGGACGCGGGGGCCTCCCGTCTCCTTCCTGACACGCCCCTCAGCGGGCTTGATGACCTCAGCCTGCTCCCTGTCCCCTTCACCCTCTGAACCCCGGCCTTCTGCTTCCAGAAGGGGAGACCGAGGGTGCTGGAAAAATGTGCATGTTCACCCAAGCCCCACTGGACTGAAGTGTGGAACTATGCGGCCCAGTTAGCCAGAATCGGCCCCCAGAGCCCTGAACTAAATGGGAAAGGTTCATAAAAACGGAAAACTGGGGCTGGAGTGATAGCACAGCGGGTAGGGTGTTGTCCTTGCACGCGGCCGACCCGGGTTTGATTCCCAGCATCCCATATGGTCCCCTGAGCACTGCCAGGAGTGATTCCTAAGTGAAAGCCAGAAGTAACCCCTGTGCAATGCCGGGTGTGACCCAAAAAGAAAAAAAAATTAAAAAATAAAAAAGGAAAAACTTGGGGCAGAGAGACAGAGCAGTGAGCAGGACACTGGCCTTGCAGGCAGCTGCCTAATTTGATTGCCAGCGCCCTGTAGGGTCCTCGAACACCACCAGGGTCCCCCTCTGAGCGCAGAGCCAGGAGTAACTCCTGCGGGGTGTGGCCCACCCACCCCCGAGGAGGAGACCGCCCTGAGCGCAGGATAGAGGAGGCCTGAGCTTGTCATGTCCTCTGGCCCGGCAGACCGCGGCGTGGCGCCCGCCCTACGCCGGCTGCAGAAGCAGCTCCTGGCCCCGTGGAACAAGGACGAACTGAGCGCCGCCAGCGCCATCTTCGTGCAGCGCGACCTGCTCCTGAGCCCGGGCTTCATGCCCCACTTCTTCAAGCTGTTCCAGACCACGGTCAAGCAGGTGGACTTCTCGGAGGTGGAGAGAGCCAGGTTCATCGTGAACGACTGGGTGCAGAAACACACCAAAGGTGAGCACACAGGCCGAGAGCCAGTGCCAGAGAGACCAGGACCCCCACTCAGCCTTGCCCCTCCAGCCCCCTCCCCTGCAGTCAGAAAGCCAAACGCAGGGCTGGAGTGATGGAGGGGAGGGAGTTTGCCTGGCATGTGGCCAAGACAGGTTTGATCCCCAGCATCACATATGGTACCCAGAGCACTGCCAGGAGTAACTCCTGAGTGCAGATTCAGGAGTAACCCCTGAGTGTCACCAGGTAAGACCCCCCTCCAATCAAGGCCAAAATTAAAAAAAAAAAAAAGGCCAAATGCATTCAGAATCCTCAAACCCACCTTGAAAGAGCCCCTAAAAGCCGCCAGGTCACCGGATATAACCCCGGGACGTCCTCTACAACCTCAGGGAGCAAAAGGGGAAAAAAACCTGATTTTGGGGTCCCATCAGGGTCTCAGGACCAAGTCAGGGGGTGACCAAGCCTGATACTTACCATCGGAGGGAGACAGAACAGTCTAGAAGGGCCAGAAAGACAGTACAGTGAGAAGGCACTTGCCTTGCATGCGACCGACTAGGGTTCGGTCCCTGGCATCCCACAGGATCCTCCAAGAATGGCCAGGAGTGAGTCCTGAGCACAGCCAGGAGTAACCCTGAGCACTGCTGGTCATAGACCCTCCCTGCAAAACAGAAAAAAACTACACTAAAACCCAGACTAGAAGCTGCTAGAAGCTGCCAGAGGGGTGCCCCAGCCCCACCCTCTGCCCAGAGCCCTGAGCACCCGCCCTGCCCGACACCCCCAGGCATGATCACGGACCTGCTGAGCACGGACGCCCTGGACCCTCTCACACGGCTGGTGCTGGTGAACGCACTCTACTTCAACGGCCAGTGGATGATGCCCTTCCCGCGGTCGGCCACTCACCACCGCCTCTTCCACAGGAGTGACGGCAGCAGCTTCTCGGTGCCCATGATGGCACAGACCAACAAGTTCAACTACAGTGAGTGCCGCCCGCCCAGGAGAACCAACCCTGGCACGGTGCCCGTGGTGATTCCCTTGCAGGCAGAAGCTGAAGTGCAGAAACCTCCAGGCTTCCCTTTGATCCCCTGACCACTCCCTGTCCCGCCCACCAGGGTGCCTCAGCAGTTCCTGGTGGGATCCCCCTGGGAGTGTGGAAGTTGGAAGCTGAGATTAAGGAGTTCCATGGCAGGGTGGGTGTGGGGCAGGGAGGTGGGCAGGAGTGTGGAGGAAAGAAAGGAGCCACCCCCAAGAGGTCAAGGTGTCCCAGCGATAGGACAGCGGTAAGGGCTGGGGGCTGGTCCTGCAGCCAGCCAAGGTGGGTTCCATCACCAGCATCCCCGAGGCCCCCCCCCCCCCGAGTCCCGCCAGAAGTGATCTCTGAGCCTCTGAGCTCAGAGCCAGGAATCAGCCCTGAGCACTGTCAGGTGGGGCCCCCAAACCAAAAAAAAAAAAAAAAAAAAAAAGCAGAGAAACGGTTTTCCACAGGGTGACTATGCAAAGGGTTTAGGAATATGACAGAGTGCTGGGGAGTCACCGCAGGGGGCGGGGCCTTCCCCAAACTGCTGAGATAAGGGAGCGGCAGGAGCCTGGGGCCAGGGTGAGGAGCCGGCTGCTCCAAGGCACCGCCTGTCCCTGCAGCCGAGTGCACCACCCCCGATGGCCACATCTACGACATTGTGGAGCTGCCCTACCATGGCGGCACCATCAGCATGTTCATCGCCGCGCCCTACCAGAAGGAGGTGCCCCTGTCCGCCCTCACCGACATCCTCGACTCGGAGCTCGTGAGCCAATGGAAAGCGAACATGACCAAGGTCGTACGCTTGCTGGTGCTGCCCAAGTGAGTGCCCACCCACGGGGCATCCTGCCTGACAGTGGCGGTAGGGTGGGTGCCACTGCCCACCCCCACGGGGCTTCTGGCCTGATGGTGGGGGCAGGGTGGGCACCATTGCCCAACCCCCGGGGTTTCCGGCCTGACGGTGGTGGCAGGCTGGCGGGAAATAGACAAGCATGGGTTTGATTAAGCCACCGCCTCCGTCCTGCTTCTGCTGAAGGGCAGGGGGTGGGGGTTCTAGAACCTGTGCCTCATCTGGCCTCACACCACCCACAGGACCCCCAGAGCAAGGATGGAGGCAGGGCAGAAGGGGTACCTCCGCCTGCCCCTCTCCAGAAGGCCCCTCCCCTACCCCAGGGAAACACTGGGAAGGGCCCAGTCGCTCTGCACTGCTCTCAGCTGCGGCTCACATCATCTCTGCAGGAGCCAAGGGAGCTGGGCTGGGCAGTGACAGAAACATCCAGAAGCTGTGGCCATGTGTTCCCCGCCCCCCCCCCCGCCCCCTCAGCCTTCCTGTTGCCCAACTCTGGAGGGTGGAGATTTGAGTGGGTTCTGCCTCTCTCCCAAATCAAGCCCATGAGCCCATGAGTCACTTGCCGGTGGGAAGCAGTGACCCCCACCCGGCAGTCCTCCCTGGGGCCTGCACTCAGCAGCACACCTCCCGCCTAGGTGCCAGGAGAAATCTGTGCGTGCTCCTTCCCACAGCCAGACTGGGCTTTTCTGTAGGTGCAAAAGCTGAGGACAGTCATTAATCGCGGCTAAGGAGGCCCAGAGGGGCGAGGGTCGGAGTCAGGCGCCCCCCAGAGGGGGAGGGCAAGGGGGCGGCTCCCGGCAGGGGATGGGCAAGGGGCCGTGCCCACAGCTTCTCCCTGCCACTGCCACAGGTTCTCTCTGGAGACTGAAATTGACCTGCAGCAGCCGCTGGAGGACCTGGGCGTGAAAGATGTGTTCAGCCCCAGCCGGGCAGACTTCAGGAGCCTCTCAGGTGAGGCTGCCCCCTTGCTGGCTTCTCCCGGCAGACAGGGTGAGGGGCGCCTGTGGGACCCGCCCCGTGCAGCTGTGCCTCAGGGGCCTGTGATCCCCCCATTTCAGACCAAGAACCACTCTACGTGTCCCAAGCACTGCAGAAAGTGAAGATCAAGGTGGACGAGAGTGGCACGGTGGCCTCCTCCTCCACCGGTGAGTCCCGCCTGGGGTGCCAGGGGACCCGGGGGACGCCAAGGCCCTGCCCAGTCCCATCGCTAACCCACACCCGTCCCTTGCAGCCGTGATCATTTCGGCCCGCATGGCCCCTGAAGAGATCATCATGGACAGGCCCTTCCTCTTTGTGGTGCGACACAACCCCACAGGTGAGAGCTGGGTGTGCGCCCACCTCCCGGGCCCAGGCTGGACTCCAGCCAGACAGGTGCACACACATGCATGCACGTGCACACATGCAGATGTACCCCACACGAATATGCATACATACACACATGCACATGTGCAAGCACACACACACACACACACACACACACACACCATGACCCTAAAGGAACAGTGGGGACAAGGGATGCAAACCCAGTTCACTTCCTGTCCCCAAAGCACAGAGACTGGACCCCCTCAGGGTCCCCCCACTGAGTCTCAGGAGCCTCCAGGACCCCCATCTCACGCATCACCCACCCGCAGCCCCATTCACTGTTCCACCCATGCTCACCTCCTGTCCCTATCCTCAGGAACGATCCTTTTCATGGGCCAAGTGATGGAGCCCTGAGTGCGGGCAGGTGGCGGCCAGGTGGGACACAACTGGACAAGGACCCGCGAGGAAGCACATCTGGAGTGCGACATCTCTTCTATCTCTTCTGGATTGATCTTTCCAGAGAAAGAAAGACATTTGCTCTTTTTTTTTTTTTTTTTTGGAACTGATAACTCACCCAGACCTCAGCCTCTCCCAGGAGGACATGAGCAAACGCCCGGAGGAAGTCCTGGGGGCACCTCCGAGGGCCCCCCTGCTGGCAGAGCCCCCTCCTGCTGCAAATTTCCAGAAGTGTCCGCATGAGCTCCAGCCCAGCGTGGGGTGCTCAGGGCCGACCTTCGGAAGCCTTGGCAGGGCGGCTGCGAGGCTCCCGGAGCTCCTGGGGCTGGGGGGAGGATTTGCGTTCCGGTCACGTTGCCTGCACTGGAGCACTGTCTGCCTCCGCCGAGGCTGGCTGCAGGCCAAGGGCCGGGCGCGAGCCACCCTTTGGGCTCAGAAGCCGAGTGGGCTCGGGGCGCCCGCCCACCCACCCGCCCCGAGTGCTGGGTGCGTTCCTGATCCCGAGTGTCGGGGAATTGTTTACTCCCAGAAGCAGATTTCTGCTTCCCACAAACTTGATTTTGCAGGAAGGCGGGCAGGCTGTATGTGCTGGGCTCTCAGCCCCGGCTGGGGAGGGGAGGCGGGGGGCACGCTTGAATATTTATCACATCCTTCTGCTCGTGTGCTTGCCAGAGACGGTGCTTGAGGGTGGTGGGGGGGGGGACAGGGGGTGCTATGTACACTCACTTCTAGACCCCTCTGAGGTGTCTGGCGCAGAGCCTGCTTGCCCACTGTGGGACCCAGGGGGCACGCGGGAGTGACGGCGCCACACCGCCACCTGGTGGCCAGTCGGGGCTCCCCGCCCCAGCTCCTGGCCTGGTCCCGGTCTGGCCAGCCTCTCTCTCCCCTTGACTGGACCCAAAGGAAGTGGTGGGTGCGAGGGACCTGAGCGAGGCCAGTCAGCGGCTTCAGAAGTTTCCAATCTATTTAGGAGCACAAGTGGGAGATCTGCCCGACCCAGCAGGACAGAACTTTCCCCAATTACAGGGTGACTCAGCTCGCTGGTGACTCACGCCCGTGAGTCATTTCCGGCTGCTGTGTGGAGCCCAGACACGTGAGAGGGAGACAATGAGAGCGAGGAGAGGGACAGTGGCAGGCTCGGTGACCCGGGCGAGATCACCTTTGCTAACCACGTCCAGCTAGAGGCTGCCCAGGGCTGGCTCTACCACCCGCCCGCCTGGCCCAGCGGCCAGAGGAAGATCACCCCAGGAGGACGAACCCTTGGTTTCTGGTCCGGCTGAGTTCCCCTTTGTTCGTAATGCACTGGACAGTGTCGGTGGCCGTGGGCTGCCCTCACGAAGACCCCCACCCCAAATGTGAGCACCTGAGTTCTTGAGTGACATGTGGATGGAATGTGCCTTTTTCACTTTTGATATTTAAATGAGTAAAAAAAAATGGCTTTATTTTTTCAAAAAAAAAGAGTATTAATATAAATCAATAAAAGCATAAGCCTACACTGCACCAGTGACTGGACTTTTCATGTTTGCCATATAGATGAATCAAAACTGAAGTCTTGAGGGAGGAAGGATCCTTGGAACCCCCCAGCCCCCACCCCCACCCCCGGCTGCCGTCACAGAGCTGGACTAACACAGCTCACGTCAGCTCTGAAAGCAGATTCCAGGAATGTGATGCAGGTGGGGGGCTTCTTCCCTGGACCTGATCCTCAGAAAAGAAAGGTGGGGCCAGAGTGACAGCACAGTGGGAGGGCACTTGCCTTACAGATTTGATCCCCTGCATCCCGTAGGGTCCCCTGAGCCCTGCCAGGAGTGATCCCTGGGCACAGAGCCAGGAGTCAGCCCTGAGCACTGCCGTGTGTGGCCCAAGGAGCAAAAGAAGCAGGGGATAGTCCCCCAAACTCCTGCCACCCCCTGGGCAGAGCTGTCCCCATGGCTCCTGGCATGGTCTCCCCATATCCATGCCAGCTAGTACACCCCAGGCTTTGCACTCACACATGGGTGCCACTGCCCTTCCCGTGCCTAGGTACCTCCTGGGCACTTTGGAGACAAGACTCATTTATTCTCCAGACCCTTAAAATTTCCCCTGAAAAGCCCTTTTTACTCTTTCTCTATTTGGAAGGCCCCTGCCAGAGACCGCCCCCCCACCACTACCAATACCTTTCTGCTCAGACCTTCAAAATCAATTTCTTTCATTTTTAATTTTTTTTTCTTTTTGAGTCCACCTGGCAATATTCGGGGGTTCCTCCTGGCTCTGTATTCAGGAATTACTCCTGGCAGTGCTCAGGGGACCCTATGGGATGCCAGGGATTGAACCCAGGTAGGCTGCGTACAAGGGAAATACCCTACCTGCTATATTATCACTCCAGTCCCTCTTTATCTCTTTCTTTCTTTCTTTCTTTCTTCCTTCCTTCCTTTCTTTTCCTTTCTTCTTTCCTTCCTCCTTCCTTTCCTTCCCCTCTCTCTCTCTCTCTCTCTCTCTCTCTCTCTCTCACACACACACACACACACACACAGAGCACTGCTCAGGGTTACTCCTAGCACATGCAAACCAAGTGTTTTGCCTGCTGTATTATCTCTTGGCTCCCAGAACAATTTCTGCAATTACAAAAGCACCAAGAAGTGACTGTCTGAGTCCCTGGAGCTGCCCAGCTCTGGAAGCAGGACAAAGGACCCTGAGACTGAGCGTCGGCCTGACAGCATTTGCACTCACAAGGTCCAACCCCCGGTATCCCATGTGTGTCCAGCCTGGCATGTGTAAGCACCGCAGGGCAGTATTTGGTGAGCCTCTCAGCTAAAAAGCTGAGTGCACTGCGGCCAAGAAGGGCGATATGGATAACCCAAACTTGAGTGCCACCGTGAAGAACTTACTACACCCACCCCGGCCCCCGCGAGCACGTGTGCAAGCTCGTGTCTGAAGGAGAGCAAACCACAAGAAGCCCCCACTAAAACTGAGGGAGGGGCCTGAAGCAACAGCACATCAGGGAGGGCGTTTGCCTTGCATACAGCAGACAGACCCGAGTTTGATCCCCGGCATTCCAGAGGGTCCCCGAAGCACCACCCGGAGTGATACCTGAGAGCTGAGCCAGGAGTCAGCCCTAAGTACTGCAAAGTGTAGCCCAAAAACCAAAAAAAGAAAAACAAAAGAAACAGGGAATGAAATAGCACCCCCAGCCCGTAGGGGTTCTTGGATACTTTGCTAAGTGCGCAAAAGCATCCTCCAGATTCTCCCTGCGCACAAAGACGGTCATTGTGGAGCGGGCGGCTGTGGCGTCACAGTCATGAGTCAGCCCGCACAGCACACCTGCCCGGCTCTGGTTCCAGCTGCATCTGCGGGGGGGGTGGGCATGGGGGGCCCTGTGGTGGGGTGCGCGATTCTAAATCTGGAACCTCCGTGATGGGCTCTCTGGGCCTTCCCGGCTTCCTGCTACAGTCCTGGTCACTGTTCTCCACACCAAGCGTTGACACCCTGACCTGCCTGTCCCCACGCACAGACGCTGGCAACCCTGGGACAGAGCGCCCTGGGGACCTCCAGACAGGACCCCACTAGCCTGAAATGACACAGAGCTGCTGAAGGGTTCATGGGCCTGGTCAGAACCTAGTGGTCACCGTTGCCCACACAGACTGAGCCCCAAATAAAGTTGGGGTTCACACCCAGAACCGGGGGAGGCTCTGCTCACCCCCTACCTTCTCCTAGCACCCCATCTTCCCGAGTGAAGCGGGAGAGGCTGCTCAGGCCTTTGCATCTCCATCACTTACCATGCGCCCCTTTCTCTGCTTCTCGGGGCTGCCCAGGGCACTTCTGGGACTAGTCAGAGGCTCGGCCCTCCCGCTGACACAGCTCTCTTTTATTTATTTTATTAATATCATTGAGGATGGGTTCCACCCAGTGATGCTCAGGTGCCCCAGCGAGCTTGGGGGACGCTGTGGAGTGCTGGGAACTGAACCTGGGTCAGCCTCACACAAGGCAAGTGCCCTCCCCACTGGTCCTTCTCTCCACCCCTGCTTCTGCTTTAGATGGGTTTCCTCAAGGCTTCTCTTCTCCCTGATACTGATGCTCTATGAGGACCGTTAACCACCACCAACACAGGCTGGGCCAGGACCAGGGCCCCGGGAGGAACGAAGAAGGCAGGAAAGCACTGTCTCTGTTGGCTCAGAGACCCGCTCCTGAACCCCAGTTGCTCCTGTTCTCCCACCTGCTCCCCCATCCCCCCACCTGCTCCCCATCCCCCCATCTACTCCCCATACCCCACCTTCTCCCCATTCGCCCCAGCTGCTCCCCGTCCCTGCCCCCTCTACCCCCTCCCTCAGCTTCGCAGACAGACAGCCGGCAGGAACTGGGGGACAGGCCTTGGCTGGCATAGACTAGGGCTGCACAGCCAAGATGTGGCCTGGCGCGCTCATGAAACATACAACCCTTGGGCCAGAGTGCAAGGACAGCAGGTTAGGCATTTGCCTTGCATGTGGCCGACTGGGTTCGGTCCCCTGGCATCTCGGATGGTACCCCGAGTCCACCAGGTGCGATCCCAGAGGCAGAGTCAAGTGTAACCCCAGAGCACTGCTGGGTAGGGCCCAAAAAAACAAAAACAAGGGGCTGGAGTGAGAGGACAGCAGGGAGGATGCTGGCCTTGCACTTGGCCAATCGGGTTCGACCCCCGACATTCCCAAGGGTCCCTCCCCCAAGCAACACCAGGAATAATTCCTGAATGGAGTCAGGATGGAGCCCTGAGCATCACCGGATGTGGCCACAAAACAAAACACCCCTCCCCAAAAAAAACCCACAAAATACTTCTATACTCACCTCTGGGGGCTGGCACTCTAGCTTTCCTCCTCCTACTGCAGACCCCATGGTCACTCCCTCCCCCCAAGATGTACCCCCAGCCCCGTCTTTACCTGCTCTGCCTCTTCTGCCTTCATACCTGCACAGGATAATGCTCTCCACTGTTCCTTCCCTGCGGTTGCCATGGTGATGACCCGGGGTCACACGCACACTTAGCTGTTTGCAGAGTCCACACCATCAGCTGTGGCCTCAACCACTGCTTGTGGTGTCCAAGGTCGCAAATAGCTCAGAGGGACAGCCTCAGTGCACGCGGGCAGCCCCCGGGGACTCAACGCGGCCTCACACTCGCCGAGCGGGCGCTTTTGCCAGAGTCATCCTGGAGCACAGTGACAGATGAACAATGACCCACGGTAAAACAGGCTTGGAACAGAAGTTCTGTGAATGTGGCCTTCCCCCCTCCCTCTCTCTCTCCTTCTTTTTCTCTCTGCTGTCATCACTGCAATGACCGGGGGAGGGTGGGGTGTCAGGAGTCACAAATGCAGGGAGGGCCACTGGAATCGCATTCGGGCACCTGGGGCAGTCCTGGGCATCAAACTCAATCAAGGTCTCACTCCTGTAGGCAAATGCTCTACCACTGAGCCATTCCCAGCAGCCTCAAAATTCCTGCTTTTAAGGGGATGTTTTCAGACCCCAGCTGACAGCAGGCAACATGGGCGGCCAGCAAGCAAACCCATGGGGAAGTGAGGGGACCTTTCCTCCTCTCCTCACCTTTTGGGCTCCTAGGGGGCCGGCTGGGGTCCTGAGGGAACCACTGAGGATCCAGAGCCTGGTGCTGTGATCTCCTCATCCCCCAAAAGACATGCTTGATTT